GGATGGAAAATGTGTATGACAAGATTAGCGAGGAAGGGAGGAGAGGAGAAGAGGAAGGAGAAGAGGAGGGTGGTATACCCAGAGGAGGAGAGACGGGATCCGGGTGGGACGACGGTGGAGAGGCGGATGAGCGTGGCGTGTTGGAGGCCGGCGTAGACTGGTTATGGCTACGTGGCGAGGGAACGTTCTTTTACGCTTTCTCGAGCTCGAGTATGCGAGGATTTTGGTCTTACAGTTGAGTAGATGTCTAGATAATAGAATTTTAGAGCTCGGGTTGCAGACTTTAGACACTCGTTCGTCAGTGCACGTCTACCACGCGGGTTCATGATACGAGTATCTGGTACCAGACGGCCGGATGTGGCAGATGTTGGCTCTCGAGAAACCGTTTTACATGACAAATTTGGCGCCGGGGTGTTTGTTATGTGAAATAGACGATGCATTTCGATGAGGGAGGAAACACGTTTGTACCTCGATGACCGTGCGGAGAGATAAACAGATGGGACTACAGTACAAATCGACTACCTAGATACGGAAACCCTAATGACATAAAATAGTGCCCAATCTCAACATAAAATGATAATATAAAGTGTATCATACGAAATGGCGGCGGGGCGCGCATTGCGAACGCGCGCACAGCCGTGTGGTGTGGTATTCTAAGCGTTGGTATCAGGCTTTTGGCTGGCATTTCAATAAGCGCCCGTCTTGATGTAGAGACCGCGAATATGTCGGCGCTAGTTTGAGTATATCCGCACGTATAGGATGTTCACTGTAGCTAAAATCGGCCCAACTTGGCCTACAACTTGAGGTCCGACTGCCTGGTTTCCGAACCACTGCCCTCCTCTAAAATTCAACAAAAATAGGAATGTAAGAATACAGTCAGTCTGAATCTGTAGAAGTCCGGCCGAAGTTTACCTGCTGCGGAACACCCTATAGCAGCGCCAAGAAAGGATGTCCAGACACGGACAGGAGTGGCTGTCGTGCGATCATCGAAGTCCTTCGAGTTCTTTGATTTCGTTTCTTGGCTCATAGACTTGAAATGATTTTTCGATTGTCCTGTCGGATGGAATATACAGACAAGGGACGAAACGAGGCCTGGTTGCGTTTTGTAGTAACTGGCATGTAACGCGCATTTTTCGATGAACTCACTCGAGTTCCCGACAGAGGGCGGCACTATCTCAAACGCACAGACAGAATATCGCTTGACCTATAGGCGAGAAATTACTCAATGATGCCATAGCGAACTTCGCGTTTGTGGAGTTGCATGTCTGAGCAAGAACATCAATTGCGCAGGGTTCGACCGCTACGACTACAGCTGCACCGCCGACTCGGAAGAAGCTTGGCCGTGGTTGAAGAAGTTGCTCCGCTAGGGTAATTACTTATACCCTCCTCGATGAAGGACTTGATTCGATACCAGCAAGGGATCCTGGAAACGGATGTTCGATTGGCCTGTGCCGTATCGCCGCATAACCGCGGTGAGGCATCTCGTGCTTCTGTGGTTCGCGCCTCCCTTGTTCGACTGGGATGTCGATTAATGACTACGTATAGGTATGTAGACACCCTTCCTTTTGGTAAACACTTCAATGCGGCACACATCGGCTATGCCTCCGCTACAGGCGATATGGCAGCATCGTGCAGACAAGTCGGCACAGGGTTGGGCGCGTCCACAAGAAACGCGTAAGTGGTCCGTGCACGGCGCGCCTAAATCCACGTGCGTGATCGCCACCGTAAAAGGAAACGCACACCTTGCTCTCTTCCTTCCACCATCACTGGTATCCGCCTTCTCCTCAGCCGCTTACACGCTTCCTAGTCAAAAAGAAATGAACTACGCAGCAAGCGCTGTAATGGTGAGTAAGCTCCATACAAAAGCCGCTGCGGAACGACCTAATCCCATCTCGACAGCACGACAGAAAGTCTGATATCCCCTCGAAGGACCGATGCTTGAATTCGGTGTTGTGAGAGAAGAACTCGTCTATCACCTCGTCATGGTGAGTATACGCCGCTAGGACAGCGTGGCGACCCACCGAACTGCTTCTTACCGTTCTCTACCTCCAGTGTCGACGACCTCCTGGGCTTCTGCCGACGGCCAACCGGCTCGAATGCGTCTTCCCTCCTTCTCTGGGTATTCGGCTTGATAATCGTGAACGTAAGCGCCCTTCGAATCCTCCCATCAAGTCAATAAATGTCTCCTATTACCTTGTTCTGAACATCTTTGGCGCGCATCGGTGCAATAGAGGGCAGGTTGCCGTATCTCACCCACTTCTTTCGTACATAAAGCCGAATATACTTATAATTCGACCAGCCTATACTTCCCCACTTCACTCGAAAATCTCGACCTGCTGCAAGACGGCATGGCGATCTCAAGCACGACAGACACCTCACTTTCTGAGCCTATCCAAAAACATGACGAGAAGATCACCATTATCGAGCGCGTCTCTGTGTCGCCCGAACCTGCCGCGGTGAACGAGAAAGTAGTCTTCGAGGACTTCCTGCACTACGCCGCCCTCCAGCGGCTTGAAGAGGATCAGGCCACGTCGCAGTCTTCCTACACCCCCTCGTCGAAAGGCTGGTTACTGCGACTCTCAGAGCATAAAGGCGCCAATGTAAACGTCAATGTCAGCGAGAAAGGCGCAGGCGCCAACCAGATGACCCCAGACCAAGAGGAACGGGCGAACGCCTCGAGAGCGTTGAGGCTTGCCGGGTGGGGGTCGATATTTTACCTGATCACGACGGACATACTGGGCCCGTTCAATGCGCCGTATGCTATTTCGCAGGTGGGGTGGGTGCCCGGTGAGTATTTCCCCCTTGCCTCCTGGTTTGTATCGGACGTAGCGAGGGCTGATGTTGGCTTTTTTCGTAGGTGTCCTACTCTATTTCGTCAGTACGTTCACCAGTCTCCCCCCTCTCGTGTATGTAA